ATGTATGTATGTATGTATGTATGTATGTATGTATGTATGTATGTATGTATGTATGTATGTATGTATGTATGTATGTATGTATGTATGTATGTGTATGTATATATGATGTGATGTAATGTATGTATGTATGTATGTATGTATGTATGTATGTATGTATGTATGTATGTATGTATGTATGTATGTATGTATGTATGTATGTATGTATGTATGTATGTAATGTATGTATATGTATGTATGTATGTATGTATGTATGTATGTATGTATGTATGTCTGTAATGTATGTAATGTATGTATGTATGTATGTATGTATGTATGTATGTATGTATGTATGTATGTATGTATGTATGTATGTATGTATGTATGTGTGTGTATGTATGTATGTATGTATGTAATGTTGTTGTATGTATGTATGTATGTATGTATGTACGTATGTATGTAATGTATGTATGTATGTATGTATGTATGTATGTATGTATGTATGTATGTATGTATGTATGTATGTATGTATGTATGTATGTGTGTGTATGTATGTATGTATGTATGTATATATGTAATGTTGTTGTATGTATGTATGTATGTAAGTATGTATGTATGTATGTATGTATGTATGTATGTATGTATGTATGTATGTATGTATGTATGTGTGTGTGTGTATGTAATGTATGTATGTATGTATGTATGTATGTATGTATGTATGTATGTATGTATGTATGTATGTATGTATGTATGTATGTATGTATGTATGTATGTATGTATGTATGTATGTATGTATGTATGTATGTATGTATGTATGTATGTATGTATGTATGTATGTAATGTATGTATGTATGTATGCATGCATGTATGTATGTATGTATGTATGTAATGTAAGTAAGTAAGTAATGTAATGTAATGCATGTAATGTATGTATGTAATGTAACGTATGTATGTATGTATGTATGTATGTATGTATGTATGTATGTATGTATGTATGTATGTAATGTCATGTAATGTATGTAATGTATGTATGTATGTAATGTATGTATGTATGTAATGTCATGTAATGTCATGTATGTATGTAATGTATGTATGTAATGTAATGTAAAGTACTGTAATGTATGTATGTATGTATCCTTGCACTTCCCCTTTGCTCCCCAGTATTTCCCGCAAAAAAACACGGTTTTTCCAGCGTTTTCGCAAAGAGGACGTCCAAAAACATTGAGTTTTTCCAGATTTTCGGCAAAAGGATGCAGGAAGCCCAAGCCAGCAAAAAAGCCGGCAGGGGGAATCGAGCCTGGGACCCCTGTTTTGCGACACCGGCTCCCCGAAGACTACGTTTAGTGGAACGTCATCAAATTGCCGCGCGGTACGTGGGGGACCCCCCCCCCCCAAAAACCTACGTAATAGACGTCGGGCGGGGGGGGGGTTAGGGGGGGGGTTATCCTTTATCCTCTCTTAGGTATCCAATAGTCCTCTCTTATGTATCCGACACGCCGAGCAATGTCGGCGGATATACAGAGATATGCACATACAATTATTTTCAAAAAACCCGGAGAAAGTCCCCTTCCCACAATATATATATATAGATACATCTACAATCTTCCCAAGATACCCGGCGAACTTTATCTTCGCCAGATGTTTGGATCGGGAGCTGAGAAGGAAATCCTTTTGCGCCCCACAAAGGCCCTGTCCTGAATCTGTCACCTGTTCAGCCTGGCGTTGTGAGATGGCTGCTTTCATTGCTTTGTTCAAAGCCTGGCATAGACAAGTACAGAGAGTGCTCAGGGGGCCAATTGGCCGAATATGACGCTTCCCTCTCATGGAGCTACAAGATACATGTCACATGGCTATGATGATGGACAACACGCATCATATTGGTTGCTGTGTCTTTCCTTGGTGTATCAAATAGTTTGAACTGAGTGAGGCACCATGGATTGGTTTGTTCAAAACGAATATATATATATATATATGAAATTGTAGTATGCTTGCGTGTGCTCATTGTAAACATACAACCATGACAGGCATTGCGTCCACTTCAGCTCGTAGCGTCAGGCAAGGGTGCACTGCATGGGGCGGATGACTCAGCAGGCTGGGAAAGGTGGCGGAGACACGCATGGGTTTGTCTGAAAATTGCGGGGGGGGGGGGGAATCTTAAATTTGGTTGGCAGTCAATCTTGGTTGTAGATTAATCTTCCTGAGGCTGCACCCATGACAAATGAAATTCTGTGTGGGGTGTGTATCAGGGCATTATTGGTCTGCTGATCTGCCATAATATTGGGGTTTGACAACTGGGGAGCGAGGAGGGGGGAGAAGGGTTGTTTGACCCACTCCGGTGCCTCCCTACTAGCAAGTGAGATTAGCCTGTCTTCGCCGCATGCAGCATCCAGCGCAAAGCCTTCAAACTACCAAACTTGAAAACCTTATCTTCGCTCCTTAAAGATAGTTCTTAGCACGAATGAGTGCACAGCATCGCTCCGTAGGCTGCGTATGGTGTACTGAGCAGGTCCAAGATAAGGTTGCACCTGGTTTAATATCGGTAGTCTAAATTATGTCAAGTTTCCCCGGCTTAAACACGACCCCCCCACTGTTTCGGTACCATGATTTATGTCAAGTTCGAGCCCCAAAAAAATCCCGTTGAAAAACATATGACTCAAAATTCGCAATATGGGCAACTGATTTCTCCTCTCAGCTTCCTGGCTCAGTCCCAGTAGTGAAACTCTGCACATCTTGTTGCTCAACCTGAGACGCTGTGGGCCTCAAAATCTAAAAGCTTAGCAAGGGACCAGGTCCTAAGCCCCAACCATCAAAATTATTTACTTAAATCCATCCAAAAACAAGCCCCAAACAGTCCTGCAAAGGGGGTTGCCCACAAAGGGGCCTGATCCCCTTTAAGGGGCACTGTTTGGGTACCATGTTTAATGTCCAGTCTTAGGCGTGGGTGGGTTAGGAATCCCCAGGTCAGATCTTAGCCTCTTGCTTTTAAAAGGGGCTCCGAATCTAAAAGCTTAGCAAGGGACCAGGCCAAGACCTGAGCCTAAGAATTCCTGATTTGATCCCAAGCCCCAACCATCAAAATTATTTACTTGAATCCATCCAAAAACAAGCCCCAAACAGTCCTGCAAAGGGGGTTGCCCACAAAGGGGCCTGATCCCCTTTAAGGGGCACTGTTTGGGTACCATGTTTAATGTCCAGTCTTAGGGTGGCAACCCAAAAAGAAGTGCTGGCAATACCAAACCAAATAGTGGCATCCCAAAAGGAAGTGCTGGCAATACTAAATTAAGTAGTGGCAACCCAACAGGAAGTGCTGGCAATACTAAACCAAGTAGTGGCAATCCAAAGGGAAGTGCTGGCAATACTAAACTAAGTAGTGGCAATACCAAAGCAATACTCAAGTCACCCAAGGCCTCCCGCCAAATCCCTATTCAGGATCCCCAGGACTGTTTTGACTGTTTCGGGGGGGGGGGGCCCAACATTACCAAGGATCTACCAACACAAAGGCTGTCGAATCGTATGCCACAAAGTCTTCGACCCATTGCTTGCAAAGGCAAACCAACACAACACAATGCACGCAATGGCTTGCGCATTGCTAATATGACGCGTGGTGGTGGCTCCAAATTTGAAGGCATGTATCGAAATCCCTACAGTCGGCCGTCAACACAGCGCGTGCGTGCTGAAAGGGAAACGAAATGAACCCCCGCCATTTGTATAAGGTCCCCTGTTTAATACGCACCCCAGAAAGCCAACCGTGATTTTGTGAGAGGTGTGGCCGCCATTTTCTCAGGAAGTGAAGAGTTCATCCGTCAGGTTGGCTACTGTTCATTGGGTTTGACTTGCTGCAGGTCTGAAGTTGGAGAACCCTTGACCTTGACAATGCTTGTGTGGGGCCCCTTTCAATGACGGTGCACAGTTTCCTCCGAAACGGGCTGCGGGGAATTTGGTGGGCATCTCTTCAAAGAGGTGTCCGCAGCAGACTTCCACGCTATGCAGCTAGTTTTGAACGGGATATGGGTGTGCGTGTGTGTGTGTGTGTGTGCAAAACAGTCTGCGCAGCCGTGTCATTGGACCTGTCTCCGCATTTCTAACGCCCTCCGAGACTGCTTCGAGACCGCGTTTGTCAGTCGTCGCGAAATCACGCACATGGCCACGTTCTCCCCACTTCTACTCCCCACTTCTTGCGTCTTCCTTTCTCTTTCGCAGTTGTACACATATTTCACTGCACCGCGTGCATTTCTCAAAACAGGCGCGGCCGAATCAGTTCCAGTACTACGGAAGTTCATGCATTAAAATTGGATAGCGAATTGCAATGCAAAGCCGTTTGAGTACTCGTTTGGACATCACAAGAGTGCCTGGCGAATGTTCGTTCTCCACGGTATACCCCACATTTCCCCATTCAGTTGTTTTTTCTGCTTAATCATCATTGGAGTCTGTAGATCGGGCATACAGTACATTATTTCACAATATGTTGATTCCGAGAGTCATGACCCCCCTTTGGCCAACCGGTTCTCACCCTGCTCTGTTTTGCTAGTGACGCAGGCTCGCACGCCGGAAGCCCAGCATCACTTAGGTTTTCTTGGGGCTCACCAAGATGACATCCAATAGATGGCTGGTGCTGTGATACCTGTGCATCTTGCTGTTTGAAGCAGGCCAAGGAGGGCTCTCTAGTTTTGGCAACCCCACGTACCAATGGGGCGGGTATGTCTTCCAAATATTGAACCTTTTCGTTTCTGAGTCATGAACAGGGAATCTGCCCCTGGGTGAGGTGTCCAGCGTTAAGAGTTGCTTTTTCTCGTACGCTGGTACATACTTGTCCCCGTGCTGGATGCTTAGTGTTGTGGGGGAGGCTGGAGTAATGGAAAAGTCCCCCTCCCAAATACTTGGAGGGCGATTGCAGACCTGGGCCTGGCTGTTTTGAACGGGAAGCACAGATATAGGCGTTTGTTTGAACGACGGATTTTGGTCAAGGCAGACTCTGACTCGTCTCGAAAGCGGACGGGCCTAGGCCTGGAGACGGGGTCCTCGGAATGCGAGTCCAGAGGCGGGCGGAAGCTGTGACTTTCCCAGCGAGCGGAACGGATTGGTTGCAGCTCAGAGCGTCCTAAAGTATTCAGCACAGAGGTTTGTATAATCTTGGTCGGGTTTATAACCCCCCTCAGCATCTAGAAGGTATAGAAGGTGCAGAAGGTCAGATTTCGGCAACCAAAACAACCAGGGTCCTAGAAACACGCTGGGAAGACTACCTTAGTATTGGGCAACATTGCATTCGGATTGGGAATGAGGATAGCTGAATTGCAAGATAATTGCAAGAGGTGTTGTCTTTTGATTCAGTATCGCTGGAGCTTCCTTTTGAGATTTGACTTGAGTTGCATTTGGTTTGATCTAGTATTTGTGGGAAGGATTTTGCATTTGATGGTGCATTTTTGGGAGCTTGCAATCGAGATTTGGTTTGAGTTGCAATTGATTTGATTTAGTATGATTTAATAGGATTTGTTGGATTCGAAACCAAACGAAAACAAGTCTTTCCATTCTGAGTGGGTCTGTGCACTTTCATGATTGTCTTTGGAATAATATCCCAACGTGACAAACACTCTTGGGGCATTCCCAAAATGGTGAATCCCCTTTGGGTTGGGAGGCAAAGGGAAACCAACTCCAAACAACCATTTTAGGACCACTGTTTCTAGAAACATCTATCTGGGGCTGGTTTCCCTTTGGTGCATCTGTGATTTGGCACCTATCGCAGGCAGAGCGCTCGAGTGGCCGAGAGTTTCCAGGCGTGCCACGTGTCGGGGTGGGTTGTGAATCTGGGAGGATGAAACTTATATGCTTTGTGTTGCTTGTTGTTTGTGTTGAACACATGGAGCATACAGTCATGGTTGTGAGTACTTATACGCAGGGCATTTGAGGCAATGATTTGGTCACCTGTGGGAAATAGAACACATTCGCCACTGTTTGGCTTTTTTGGGAGCTGCCTTTCTATTGGGTCCCCACAGGGCAGAGTCAAAACCTCCCAGTTGAAATATTGTGCCTTGAACCCGGAGCATGACAACCGCCGACTTTGCCCAGAAAGTTGCCTGGCAATGGGGCTTCCTTGATTCAGGTCGATGGAATCTCGTGTGTAGAATTGATGAGCAACTGGCCTGTACAGCCTGAACAAGGGATCCAGAAAGGCTACGTTGGTGGCGGTCACCCAGATCCCAAGAGATTTCTCTTGTCAGGCCTCTAGGCAAACACCCTTTGGGCATGCTGTTCTTGTCTGCTTGGGGGGGAGGACTCTCCTTGTTACTCAAATGATTGGTGTACTTGTCTTCCCATTTCCTAAGCCACAGTGCAAGCAGGCCTCATGCTTGATGGTTGAAGCGGATGGAGAACGTGAATGCTGGCTATTCGTGCACAGGCTTGACACAGGCCTCATAGTGACGGATCGCTTTGCGGATGAGATCGGAGGTCTTGTGCCAGAAGATGGAGCCGCAGCCTGACGCAGTGGAGGCGCAAAGTTGACAGCCCACTTGTTCAGTTGCAACATTGTCCCTTTGTATTTGGCGTGTTGCCCCGGAAACCTTATTTTACCAGAGTTGTTGCTTGAGGGCACTGGCACTATGAGGGCCAACTAACCACATCCGTCTTCTGTGAGAATGGCTGGAATTATTTTTCCTCAAATTAAGTCAAACGATATCAATTCGAGGTGAAACCACGCCCAAGATCTGGGTGGGGGTTCCCCCTTTCCAAACGGAACCACACTGGCCTGCCTAGAACATGCATTCTATCCTTTTGTTGAGCAACGCTGCTTTTGTGCAATGGAAAGACAGGGTCCTTTTCTCTTATTCTTTGGGTTGCAAAATGCTCATATTGTTTGTTGTGTTGTTTTTTATTTGCAGCCAAATGATCCGCCATGTTCCGTCGTTTGTTTGGAGATTGATTGGTGAAATGAGATGTGTTTTTCCATGTTCACTTCGCTGACATGACACGGAGAAGCCGCTGGGTGGGCTCTCCAAGCCCAGGATTCATACCTTTTTGCGGCAAGTCCCGTGACCAACTTGATGACACGAAGAGTATGGTGAATAATTCATCATTTGGAAGGCCTGCCAATTGTAGTAGAAATGTGTGTTTGAGTAACAACCCTGCCTGCACCCCCCAAAGTTTTGAGGTGCAGCAGATTGTTCGTTTCCTGGTATCACGGAATCTGCAAATAGCTCACTACCACAACCCTCGGGAGGCTTGACTTACTGTTGATATCCAAGGGTTTCATTTGGTTGCCGGCGCCCAGCTCAACCTGGGTCAGAATGTGTTGTGCATTCTGTTCTGGCAGAAGCACGAGACGGGAGTCTTATTGCCCAGGTCAATGACTGGCAGTGATAGTTACTGTCACTCACCAGAGATGTATTGTCAAGTAGTGTTACACATCTTAAAGGACCAACTGCAAAGCAGGGCACAGCAACGAAATGTTGCCAGGAATCTCAAATTGGTGGACGGAAATTGATTTGCATGGATCTTCACCAAAGGACTCCCAATTGAAATTTCGGTTTAAATATATATATATATATATGTATTTTGCAATGGTAGATGGAACACGTGCCCCGTTTGAACCCGCTTGACACAGGCAACACGTTTCTGCAGCAGTTGGCGGGGGGGGGGGGGGGGTTGGCGCCAGGAGCTGCGGAAAGCCGCTGAATCCCAGGGCCTTTGCCTGTGCCGCAGCCGCGGATACTCCGGGGTCGGGCGGCGACCCTTCCAAGGCCTAAGCCTCTTTGGGTCCAAGTACTCCATTTTCTCGGGGATTTGTTTGTTACCAATTCCCAAAGCGCCAATATGAGATACTTAGAACGCGCAGGGTAAAGGGTTCCTTGGTGTTTTTCAAACAGGTGATTGTCCAGTTGAACCGCCCAAGGACCATCCTCAAAGGGTACTTGCACCCTTTGAGAGCAGAACTTTCAGCACACCTCGACCTTTTACGACTCGTTTGGCGGGGGGCCGGAAGATCAAGGCAAAAAAAACATGCTGTGAACAGTCAGGTCTTGTGGCCGAGACCCGTGTTAGTTGCATCTTGTGATCATGGCTTGGCAGTTTGTATTCGACAGACCCTTAAGCTCCAAACATGGTCCAGCGGGGTTTGCGCAGGAGGCCTCTATTTAGCGGTGAAGCTCTCATCAGCGCATGGAGACTTGTAAGGCATTGGGTTTGGTTCCAGGGGGCGTTGTTTCCAGCCCCAATCACGAAGACCGCCCCACAGACATACCTGTCCCGCAGAAAGGCTGCTTGGGCCTTACTTGGCCCCAGGGCCGCAAGAAGGTTTGTTGGGTATCTTTAATTTGTAGGTATGATTTGTGGGGTTCCTGGAGAAGAGAGATCGGTGCTTCCAATGAAGGGTTATGTAAGACTCCTGCCATTCACACTTGCGTGCTGCTTGAGGGTCCGTCCTCGGAGGTCGTTGTGACTGGCTGCAGGTTGGAAGATGGATGCTTGTCAAACAGGCACCTGTCGGAATTTAGATAGCAGTTCAATCAACGGCAAATGTTTGTGGGCTAGGGGGGGACGGTCCAAGCATCAAGTATGCATTTGTAATGCACCTGGCAGTCCAGCCAGCCTACAGTCGCGACTTGAGTCATGCAAATGGAGGCATTAGCTTCAATTGCGTTTGTGTGTATCAAATGTTGGCTTTTTGTGTGGATGCTTTACAACAGGAACCAACATGAATCAATAATGTAGAAGGATTCGCTGTGTTGACGCGCCGCTGGCATATCCACTTCTGGAATATGGAGTTGCGGGTGCGGTGGCTCGTATGAACTATGAACTACGGACCCCTAGACCTGGCGGGTTTTCGTTAAGTTCCCCTATTCGAAAAGGCGGCCCCTTCCAGGAACCTCCATGTCCCAATCAGCAGACTCCTCGAGGTCAGGAGGCATTTGATTCGCTCAGCGACCTGCACTTCGGCAAGGGCGAGCTGTGTGTGCGTCGGGATCTCAGCCCATCTCAACCCATGACATACTCGGGGCCACCGGAGGCCTGAGAAGGGCATGACAAACAGCTCCAAGTTATTGTCAAACAATTGTTTTGATTAAGAGGAGTCATGCAAGAGAGTCATCAATGGCTTGATGTATGTCATGAGTGACGTTGTTATAATATTGTTTGATGTTTCTATTTGAATCACTTCTTTTGCAACACTCTTAGGGCGTGACACGAGGAGCAAGCTAAACAAGTTGCTTGCTACAGGATATCATAGGGGGAGCCAAAGAACTGGTACAGGAGGCAAACAAGTCCACAATGGCGAACGATTTGGTTCCAAATCCATGGTGGTCGATTGTTCCAACCTGACACTGGTTGACCCCTTGTTGATCCCGTGTTGACCCCTTTTAGGTTTCTCGTTCTAGTCGGTAAAATGCAGGAATTTGTGCCATGAGCTTCCTGTTGCTAAAGTTGGCCGCGACCCAGTCGAAATTCAAGGCACACAAATGCATTGCAATTGTCAGGTGTGATCAGCCGAAGCAGACATCGAACATAGTTATGACACTAAGCAGAAGCCCTCACTTATGATCAGGCGTGCTATGTTTGCAGAGATCCTAGAGCAATTTTTTGTATCCCCCAGAGAGGCCATTGTTTGTAATTAGATGACATCTTATCCAGCCCCTGTGATGCCTGAACAAGCCTTTCACTCTTAGAGGGCTTCCATTTGTCCCATGTTCACTTCCAGGGCAAACTGCGGCAATTGTATAATCTGTGCACAGTGAGTAGATGGCGGCTGTGCACCGCCGGTTGTTATATGTGTACATTCTTAGTGGACAGGGGCTGTGTGTTCCCGAAAAGGAGGTTCTACCAATCGTTTGGGTTCCATTCGATTCTGCAGCAGGTGTACGACGTGCTTAGGCAGAGGAAAGTTCCTTGAGATCCGAGGTGTGAAATTGCCCTCTGACTTCTCCTCGTACACTGCTGGCATCTCAGACATGTCAAAGGCCTTTGTTCTTTGCAGATCAATGGAACCCGACACGCCCAACCATTTTTTGGGGGGAGCAGGGGGGTAGAAATCTTTGTGGATTGAGACCCGTTTTCTGGATTCCAAGTTAATTGCAACAGTAATTATATGTGCATGAACCGTGTATCTCCCAATGGCATGAACCACTTGTTTGTGGCCCTAGCCATTGATTCGAGCTAGCGGTTGGACAAGCCAAACAGATGTCGGGTCCAATATTGCATTCATGGGCATATGGGTGAGCACATCAGCAAAACTAGGGGCCCGTCAAAATGCTTTCCTTTGTGAATGGGCACTCCCATAATTTTACAACCAACACTTGGAAGAGCGGAGGCTGCAAGATATAGCCATCCTACCTTTTGATCTCCGACAAGTAGTTCTTATCTGGTTTTGAGGTAGGATGCCTGATGTTTCTTGTCGTTTTGTTTAACCCCACTTTGAATGATCAACCAGTTGCACGATCACTCCACAGTTCTGCGTGCTTATTTGGTGCCTTGGACGATGCTTGGAGCGGGAAATGTATGGAAGCCGGTTAACCTGCTTGCTGCATGCAGCATATTGCCACCAATGCAGTATTGCGCAGGAAACCGTGCACAGAATAGATTGATGACACACACACAAACTCACGGTGTTGGTCGTCCACCAAAAGGGCCGCCTTTTTGTCAACTTCCACATGTTGGAACCGGTGTTTTTTTTTTTTACTAGCCCCGAGGGGCTTAACCCCGGCTAGGAGGCTGGTTGGTTGGTTGGTTGGTTGGTTGGTTGATTGGTTGGTTGGTTGGCTGGTTTGTTGGTTGGTTGGTTGGTTGGTTGGTTGGTTGGTTGGCTGGGCGGCCGCATCCCCGGCATCTCCAGCACCACCAATCCTAGCCCAAAACTTGCATTACCACATCCCCGAAGCAACCCGAAAGCCACGGCTGAACATGCCGCACACCTAGCACAGATCAGCCCCAACCAAGCCAAAACCGACCCAAAGTTAACCTTAAACCCTCCCAACCGCATCCTGCATATCAGCCCTTTGACCCCAAACAAACCCAAGACCTGCCCTCATTAAGACCTCATCAAGCCCAACACTCACCCCACACCAGCCCCGAGCAACCCTGAACTGCCACCAAATCTAAGCCAATAGGCAGCTCTCGTCCGAGTGAGGCCAGTACTGCTGGCGATGCGGTGGGCTAGCCCAAGCAACTGTGAACTACCATCAAGTCATGCCCAATACGCAGCCCTGACAAGAAACCGGAAATGCTGGAGATGCCGGGGATGCAGCCACCAACCCCCAGCCGAGCTCTTTGGAGGGAGGCTTTGTGCCGAGCCGGGGCCAGTAAAAAGCCGGGGCTAGTAAGAAAAAAACACCTCAACCGCTTATGCAAGTTTTGGGCGGCATTGCCCCAAATGACCAATCCTAGCCCACAACTATTACCACATCCCGGAGCAACCCGGCTGAACCAGCCACACACCTAGCACAGATCCCCAACCAAGCCAAAACCGACCCAAAGTTACCTCAAACCCTCCCAACCGCATCCTGCATATCAGCCCTAAATGAACCCCAAACAAACCCAAGACCCGCCCTCATTAAGACCTCATCAAGCCCAACACTCACCCCACACCAGCCCCGAGCAACCCTGAACTGCCACCAAATCTAAGCCAATAGGCAGCTCTCGTCCGAGTCAGGCCAGTACTGCTGGCGATGCGGTGGGCTAGCCCGAGCAACTATCAACTACCATCAAGTCATGCCCAATACGCAGCCCTGACAAGAAACCGGAAATGCTGGTGATGCCGGGGATGCAGCCACCAACCCCCAGCCGAGCTCTTGGAGGGAGGCGTTGCGCTGAGCCGGGGCTAGTAAAAAGCCGGGGCTAGTAAAAAAACACCTCAACCCCACATGTTTGGACGATGAATGCACTTAGACCGCTTCACAAACTGTATCGAGGTCATGGTTGTCGCATAACGCAATTGATCTACGGGTAGCTTTCCATCAAACCACACGGTTTGAGGAGCTGCTCGGTTTGTCTCAAAATGGCTGTTGGAACCTTTTAAGATGGGGGAGTTTCCTTATTCTCCCACAACCCCACAAAGGGTACCACCACCCCAAACATCACAGACTGTGTCTGGTCTCAAATCTGGGACCCCTGGGGTGATTTGAAAGGGACAACTTTTTGAAACCTCTTGAACTTGCCAAATGTCCAATTTATGTTGTATTTGTTCTGACAGGAAGCCGAAAGGGAATGGATTTCGTTAACGATTTGTCCCCCCCTATTTGCACCCACCTTATACATCGTAAAGAAATGGAAACAAAAAAAACACAAAACAAGGAATAATTAACCGGTTTAATGAATACTTTTGGTAGCCACATCTAAACAAAACCTGAGTTTGTGCCCATTTGTTTGAGAACATGACCGCGCATCAGGTTCACCCGCAGCTTCTGGAAGCCATGCGCATCGCCGCAGGGGGGCTGAAGATGGTTAGATAGACCCGGGATCCGGGTCAGGGTTCCACTTGTTGGGGTTGGTTTAAAGGGAGACCAAAAAGAAGGCCACCATTTTATGAGCTGCTTCTTTTTAGACAGACCCAACCCAATGTGAGTCTGTTTCTATTTGTTGTGGGACCCTCTTTCCACGCAGGAACATCCTTTCTTTCCCTTTGCAGCCGGCCAAACGTGAGATCGGGCCCAGTTTAGCAAACAAAACATGCTGGCGGGCGAAGCATTTTTTGTTTTCTTCTGCCAACCCTTGGTGTGTTGGCAACGGCTTGTTGCAGCCCCTGACTGAAAGTCAAATTGCAAACAAACAAACAAACAAACAAACAAACAAACAAACAAGCAAACAAACAAGCAAACCAGCAAACCAGCAAACCGACAAGTGCAGGGAAGCATTGATGTGTGCGGTTGTTTGATGCCTAAAGGGTACAAGTACCGCAAATGTGTGGGCTATTGTCTTGCAGTGGGCAATATTGTGAGTCTGGTTTCATATGAAGACGAGCCAACAAGTGGCCCAGCTGAATTTGATGCATAAATAGACCTGATGTCGCTGTCCCTGGTCAAACATCATATTTTGGGCCAATGGCTACCGAGTTTCGGTTTGGGGTGAGATTTAGAGACATACATGAAACTCTCAGGGATCGATCCGAGAAAGAGTTTCTAGGTCTCCTGTCAGATTCTTCAGGTCTCCCACTTTGGGGATGCACAGGGTTCCGTGTACATTTGTTTTGGGGATGATATAACAATATATATATATACATATATGTATATATATATATATTTTTTGTAGCGTATGTATATGGGGGAGGGGATGTGCAAAGCATCAGGGTTTTTGGCAGTTTCCGCTTGATGCATTTTATGCAAATGGCATCTAAAGATCCGTGCGTTGGGAGGGAGTGGCAGCTCAATCTGCCCGGAAGTGCCACGACACCATCGTCAATTGAAAGCCTTTGGCCCACAATTGCTTCCCCACTTGCAACTCAAAAATCTGGCTATGTTCTAAAACTCCCAAATTTCAGCTGAGCTTGCACTCAACGGGGTGAGTTGCGCCGGGTTTTCTTTTGTTCCCGTCGGGCATTGGTTTCAGAGAGACTTCGCCGAGCTCCACGGCTTTGAAGCCGCTGGAGGTCTTGGGCTTCGCCTTCTTCGACGCATCCAAGAGCCTGGCTCAGGAGCCGGGACGGCCGAGTCTCAACAGTCGAATCCGAGGAAGGTTACTGGTGGATATGCCCAGTTGTTGTTTTTGTTTGTTGTTTTCTGGGAGGTTGTTGCACCTTGTATGTCTCTTATGTACACTTTGTGTGTTGGGTTATATGGTGTAATTTAATTAGCTCGTGCCAAAGTCCCTTGTGCTACGGTGGATTCCCTAAATATGGATCCAGGCCCAAATAGTTAGAACATGGCATCGTTCTCCTTGAAGGACTGATTGGGCGTTGTCCGCAAACCTCCACAAAAGAGTTGTCAAAATCGCCGACCCGACTCGGGTGAAAGGCAGCATGCTCAGGCTCCAAAATGAGAGACGCCTTCCAATCAAAGCGTCCTGGCTGAACGGCGTGGGTCAAAATAGCACACTCATGCCACGCCGCACTAACCATAGCAACCTCACAAAGGTTTGCGACCTCACCAATAATTGTGTTTCCTTTCCTAGGAAACACGTATTCTGGGTTTGTGAATCATTGTAGTTTGCCCAATTTGTGTTGTTATAACCATGGGAAGATTGGGGAACATGCCAATTCCATAAAAATCCTGGGGCCTCCTAAGGTTCTCATGAAGTTGTCGTTTGGCACTGCGGAATATTGTTTGTGGTTCACATTGACAGCATCAAGTTGTTGAGTGATGCCTCACAATTTGGTGTCCAGAAATGAGGAACCCTGTCTGGATGGCATGTGAAAGCTAGCCATGTTTAGTGTTCTTTTTGGGGGAACCCAGCGTCTAAATGAAGGTTACTGGGTATGGCTTGCCGTATGCTGGTGTGGATGCTGGAGTTAATTTCACATTAGCCTGTTGAGGTCTATTTCAAAGAAGCACATTGCATAATGAAAGGATGTCCTAAGTCCAGTTTGTTTGTGCAAAAGCGTGTTCTGCAAGATGGTCGCATCCAGCTTCAACGAAGGTCAACTGGTGAAGCTGGCTCAATCAATGTCAAATCGACTGCTTTGGGTAATGCAGGACCTTACGTCCATTTCATCGGTGACGGCGCCTGCTTTGGACGGGCGGATGGGCGGCAGGCGGACGGACTGTGTTGAAGTACCTGATGCCCGTCACGGGCATCGGGTCACACAGGGTTGCATCTCTAAATGCGACCTGTTGCGAGTCAGTCTTCCATTCGCAGAAGATGCACGGATTTGAGAATTATGAGTGGAATTTCTTCAATTACTCTCGCTGACAGGTCAATGCACGCCTGCACAGTAAACCCCGCCTTCTCCCGGCATGTGGGCATGCGTCAGGACTCGTGGGCGACCTCCAGATGGTCGGTTTAGTTTTGGTCTCCTCTTGTGGTGCTGTCGCCAGCAGAGGCCATTTTTCGTTTTGATCCACTTGGTCATCTGGGTGTTGTCACAACAGGGTCGGCACCCTTTGCAACCCGTGTCTTTGCCTTTTTTGGAGGGGGCTTGGTTCAAGCTGATCGGACAATTTTGCCTACCAGGTGGCCTTGCGTTGCATGGGTGTCTCCTACTGCCGTGATACGCCGGTGTAAAAACGAGCCTGCTTGTGAACACTATGGTAATGGGAGCTTTTTCAGTTTCGTGCAGACAGGCTTTCCAGTATTTCCCGGTTCGGTGGCTTGAAGCATCACCTTTGGGGCCAATGTTCAAGTGAGTTAACTTTCATGTTTGGGCAAGCCTGGGTCTGTTTCTTTTTTGGGAACCCCCCTCTTAAAAAGGGAAGCCAACCAGAAACCAAGCAATCCCCTCATCGAGCGTCAGGAGCTTCCGAAGGGAACGGAGCACCTGGTACTGCACCTCCGTGAGAGGCGGTATGGCACCAGCGCGGATAGGCCGGGGACTTATGATGTAGGGCTCCCGTCCCTTCCCTGAGGGGAAGGAGGTGGGGGGGGGGGAGGTAACTGCGAAGAGTAGATGATGCCGTGAACCAGGAACGAGCATGAGTTTGTAAGTATCTGGAGTTAGACTTTGGAATTTATGGAATGTGAGAGCTTCGGAGCTAGCCACCAGCCCGTCTTTCCTGCCAGCCTGAGCAGTTCCAATCATGAGCTTTTGACTTGTGACTTCCAGGGATGGTCGTAAATACAGGTCAAGCATCGTGGACGGAGGGGATGGTCATAAATGTCAATGGGGATGCAAGCCATTGTAAGGCTTTCTGAATTGCATCGTAAAGGAAGCTCAGAACACAACAGCTTCGGCCAACTGCAGGCTGTGATCCATTGACAATTGAGGGACATCGGCAGGGACTCACCACCCATTTTTCGGAAATCTCCACATGTGTGCCAGCTGGACCTGTTATGCAAATTGATTGACAACTGCGACTCACTATGAAGTTCCGCAATGGCGTGAGGGCTTGCTACGCCAAGTGTGTTTGCGCCAGTTCAACTGCCTCTTGCACTTTGAGTGTGGACGGCGGAGGGGTGGTGATGGAAGTGCAGGAACGTGCTGGGTGCCGGTCGCTTGAATGGGGCCAATGGATGCGGAAGTCAGTGAGTTCAGTTTGAAGCTTTCTGTCGTGCTGGAGGGTCAGGTAGGTGCATCTGTGTATGGTTGCAGAACATTGAGGCTTTTGGCTGCCGCTTTTGTGATGCCCTTTGGGAATCCACTTCATCAAGTGGTTAGGGATATCAACCACTTGGGATATTAAAGAACTGGACCCATGTTATTGATCCATCAAGCCGGCTTTGCACCATATCCCGAGAGTCAGCAGCGAACCCGGGGCAACATGACCTCACCGGCAGGGAAAACCCGGGCTATACATGCAGATTGTCCACACGCCCTTCCAAGTATCACAAACTTTATGGAGCCCTCCCCAGAAGACCATGTTTCCTTTGCAGGGGCCTTCTGGAAGGGGCCGCTTCCCTTATTCCCTTATTTCCTGATTCGCCTTGTGCATATTAGGCTTCCCGTTTAGCCACAGACCCTTTGCGGGCAGTGTATACTGACAACATGATTTTGTGCTTCAGCCGGCCGGTGGCTTTGTGCTCTTTTAATGCGGCTTCTCTTTCATGAGGCGCAAGGATCGGGAAACCCTGACCTTGAATGTACCTGGCGTGTCCGAACCAAAACCTTTAGCAGGTCACCACGCCTTCTTGTTTGGCATGTTTTATGGTAAGGGTGGTTTCAGGAGACCTTAGGTACCGGTTGTTTACAACAAATATGGGTGCCATGATTTCGGAAAGTTCCACATCAAATTCTACACTCGATGTCATCGCATTTGCTGAATTTAGGTGGGGCATGCGGCATGCACTGCACCACGAGCACATTCCACGACAAAAGCGACAAGCCTGCTGAGATGGCGTTCGGGGTTGACCGCCAAGGATCCAGGTAGCACCTCACGGGTGTCCCTTCTTCTTTCCTGCAGCGCGAGTGAGTCGTGTTCAAATCTCCTAGCCGGTCCCATATGATAGCGAGTCAAGCATCAACACGTTAGACGGCCTGATTTAAGCACACACACGCACTCATTTTGTGCTGTTGGCAAGCCCACCATGTGCCAAGAGGAGAGTTTGCTGACAATTGCCAATCGTTTGTTACAGGCTGTGCCCAGAGGGGATAAGTAACTTTACTTAGAGCCTCCGGATCAGTGCCGGAGAGTTGCTCTCGAGAATTGCACTTGTTGTAGTGAACAGCAACTGGTACCGAGGGAGGGTCCTGCGATGACTCTGGCGCCAAACAAAAACTTCTGCACCTGTTGATGTCCATGCCTTTCAACACTTTGCGCTCAGGTGGTCAGTTGCATTGCTTTGCTGAGTTCTAACTTATGAAGAACACAAAATCCAGGATACATGCATGCAACACTTGAGCTATGTGTGACGGCGTTTGTCCAAATTGCAGCGGAGCCGCTCCTGTGCAAGTTTTGCCCTGAAACCCACAGCAAGAAACAAAAAGCAAATGTGCCGCTGAGCCATGTCCATGTGCAAGCTGAGCTGCTCCGTGCCCAAACAGTCTGGCTCGCGAAACGTGGCGCGAGGAGCTAACGCTTCGTCCTGTCAAGCCTCAGCAGGCGTCCCGCTGGCATTGGGTTGTGACCAGCGAGCAACGGGGGAATATTGATAATGATACAGAGAACCATACTCATCCGAGGTGGCCAACTTGTACTCGGGACTTGTCCAGTTTATGGAGATTGTGGATGGTACAGGACAAATCATAGCATCCTCGCGCGACGTCGCGATGCCGCAAACGGTTTCGATATGCAGTTTCATCACCATGATAATGAAGTGTTCTTTTTTGTGTGTTGGGGGTGGGGGGGGCGGGGGCAGGGGGGGGTCATGTCCTTGTCTGGGTTGTTTCAGCCAGATGCCTTCGTTCAAAGTCGGTGTAAGCTGTCAATAATGAACAACGGATGTTGAAACATGTTTGAACTTTGAACATGTGTGACAATGTGGGTAGCGCAATCCCGATTGCTTCCCCGAGTCTTGCATGTAGACACAGTGTGTGTGCAATACTCAGAGATTCCACTGAATGGACAAATCTAGGCGAAGTACGCGTGGCATGGAAGGAGCATGGCAGAGAGAACAACCAGTGAAGAGTGACAGTAAGAACTTGGATGAGTGACTGATGTCAACAGGCCTACGTACATCATTTAGAGCTCCGAGCTCAGCTAAGGCGATGCGGCAGGCAAGTTTGTTGTTACAGCTAAACAGAAGAGACTTGGCGATGCATTTGCCCTGCGCGGCAGCATGTTGACCGTCTTGAGGAGCAATTCACTTGTTTTCTGATTCTTGTCAGGCGCCTATCCCGTTGAAAGATCGAAGTCTTTTCGACAGGCAACTGACGTGGGCACTGCACATAGGATTTGTTGCCCTGCCTCATCTTTCGGCCTATCTCTCCAGGTGGAGCTTGCAGACATCACGGAATCGGGGCGGGAGCCTCTGTCACATACGGGTCAATCTCGCGAACTGCCGCGCCTTCTGTTTTTTTGTCATGTACCCGTTAGATCCCTTTAAGATGCCCACGGTTGCACCCGACTTTGGAGAGGTACTTTAGGTCCATGCAATGGTGCCAACATTTGGTGCATAGGGGTTAAGAGGAGTAGTCGCGCTTGGTTGAAAATAGGAAGTGCACTTCCTTTCATGCAGGCAAATCAGAAAGATCGTAATATACTAAAAACCGGAGAATTGTGCCATCTACATAATCTGCTCCATCCAAGCGTAAAACTCCATGAGAATCGTAGCAGATTGGCTTCAAGTGTTGGAGCCATAACTCGTCGAACCGTACCTCCTCATCCTTTTCAGAGATCCTTGTCTTCCGGCAATATTTGAACTCCAAGGATATTCGGATAAAAACTATCGGCAGAGTCGGACTTTGGCCCGTCAGGTGTTTCGGCACTTTTCGACTCGACAGGGTTGCCCCGAGCCAAAGGCTGGGAAAGGCCCAGTGGTTCGCTTGTTTGGCGAATTTTTCTTTGAACCCCCGTGACAACTACGCAAATATGGCTGTGGGTCAAAACCAATGGATCCATCTTGGGGTAGGTGCACCACCCATTTTAGTCAATTTTAGTGGGGATTGAGATGTTCACTGGGGGTACGGGCTTTTGACCCATGGCCATGTTCCAGACCACAGGGTGTGGTCTCAAGATCGGCACCGGTGAGTGGCCAAGGCTGGAGGTGCCCAGCCTCTTCGAGATTCAATGGACGCCTCTTCCGTCGGGCAGGACCGCCGGAAGCCACTGCGTCGAGGTTGGGAGGGGGGGGGTGGGGGTTGTTGGGGGGGGCTTCTCAAAATGTGGGACCAGTTTTCTGAGAAATGATCTCAGACCATGCTCCATGAGGCTTGCGAACATGCACCGCTTTTGGGGTGCTCCTGCGTAGCATTTGCCTATTTTGTGGCGACCTCTGGGTGAAACTCCGTGAAGGTCCATTGCTCGGGGATCCCTTATTTCCGGGCCATGCAGATAGCACAGATTTGTCTCTCATGGAGATTGTGCCCCCCCCCCCCGTACTTGATCAGGTTCATTCACAGTTCCCAGCAAGGGAACAACAGGAATGAGCCCACCTGAGCAAAATGAACGCTTGTGGAACGCCCTTTTTGGGGGACTCCATTGTGGTTTCATGCTAAGTTCTGCGGTAAGGAATCGATGAGGCAATCCAGCTATACCAGACCCCTTTGGTGCAGGACCTTTGCAGAGGATGGTCCCAGCCTCGACGGTGAGCGATGCGAGGAATCCCCGAAAGTAGCAAGCCCTGGGCAGAGGTGCTTGCCGAAAGGGTGGTAAACCGCGATGCAGTTCCAATGTTATGGAAGCTGGGTGATGTTGAGGGGCAAACCCTGCATAGGTCATGTATGCCGACTCAAGTGACAAAACCAATGCGTCTGACAAGTCTGATGCATGCAGGAACCCATACACCATTGTGGATTTTTATAGTAATTGGACTCCTAGCATGTTGGACTTCAAAGCTCATTCTGCCGCCGTCATATCCATCTGCCCTGTTTGAACATCGAAGTGTATGGAATGCCATGTACAGAACTACAATAGGAATCCTGAATCCTGCAGATAAGACCCCACAATTTCAGTAGCCCAAAACTACTTCACTTGATGTTTCTTTGAGACATGCAGTTTGCCCTTTGGGTTCGATGGATTTCTTTGCATTTGCTTCTGGTTCTCTTCATGCTGTGTGCATGTCCAGTGTGAGGTACTATAGGGACATGGGGCAGGGCACTCACTCATCGTCCCACATCCTTGTGGAGAAACAAGTAGTTCTGACAACGGTGTGTTCTGCAAGCGGACAAAAGTTGGATCAACCGCCATGAGCGAGTTGGCTGCTGAGGTGGGCACTGGCTGCTGCTTTGCCCCAGCGACCTGGAGCTGGCAGCAGGCGCAGCGGGACGGGGGGGTGGCGCTGTCAGACACCAGCGGTGACCCTTTGGGTAGGATGCTACACGCGCGTTGACCCTTCAACGGATGGGCATGTTTGTCCCTTGGTGCAAGTTGGAGCCTGTTTATGAAAGAGCCCGTTTAGGGCTTCCTGACACGGGAGAGGGTCGGTTTCGCACGTTTTGCATGTCATTGGAAAGGTTGCAATTGAGCACTGGGCATTGGTGTCGCAAAATGATTGCCCGTACGGGGATCCCGGTTTCATGTTGGTATGTGTGAAAACCACCCACGCGAGGTGTTCTTATCCTTCAAAGCAGTCAGGCCTTATCTTGCCTTACCCGCGATTCGCTGGGTGGATTGGCGGGTGTGTCTGCGTGTGTGGTGCGTGGGCGGGTGTGGGTGGGTGGGTGACTGGTGGGTGGGTAGGTGGGCGTGGGGATGTGTGCGCTTTTTTTCGAGGGTGGGCGGCCCCGGAATTGGACGCATACCCAAGCTAATCTTTAAACCGGCCTTACTACAGCCCCACAAAGCCAGGTATAACAACCTAACATTGTCTATCGAGCCATTCCACACTGCCTTCAGTGCCACCTCAGGACTTGAGCAGGCGATTGCCAAGGACATGCCCGGGTTGAATTCGGCCATGCGACTGGTTGACTCTGTTGCTTGTCCTTCACATCAGTCCGTTTTAGCTTTCTATTTCGTTCAGACTCACATGAGGAACCCGGCGGTTCCATCGGCACCCTTTTGGACTCAGGTTGCAAGGAAGCCAGCCTGGGCCATGCTTTTGAAGCGGCAGTCGTAGTCAGATTCCGAGTTAATCCTGTGAAATGAAGACATGATCATGCGTGCGGAACTGGACACTAAGCAGGCCAAACTAAACCAGGTTCCTGTTCGTTATGCTCTCTTGATCATGCGAGCCACCAAGCAAACAAGCAAATTGCACAGCAACTTCATGATCCTTTGAGACATTTGAGTTTTATTTGAGGGAGTTCGTAGCGCATTTACCGGCTGCTTTATGGCATCCGAGCATTGGGAATTTGTCCAGGCTTTCCACAGAAAGCCAAACAGAAGTTAACCATTCCCAAGGGCTCCTAACCACGTTGCTTGTGTGATTCAGCATTTGGCAAATGTTTGTTCAGACTGCAGGACGAACTCCAGAGATGTGCCAGCTACTATGCTTCTTGCAAGGCAGCCAGCAGCAAAGCGAGGGTTTGGGGATTTCGAGATGGAGCACAGTCGGATCTTTCATTATTTGATGCCCAGCGCAAACGCTTTGGACCTGTTTCTTCATGCATGTTCAACATATCTGTATATATGTACCTTAGATATGATCATGTATCACACTATCATATGAACAGTTCCATGATTAATTCATCCGGACAAACCATTGGCTCGGCAAGTCTCAAGTCTATGGGAAATGGGCCCCGAGCTGTTGATGACAGGGCTATGAAAAGGAAACGCCTTCCATGGTTGGTGCGGTTGGTGGTTGCGTAAATAGCCATGGATGTAAATCGATGTCAACGCTCGTCCCTTTTGGTTTGAGACTTGCTTCCAGGAGAGTGGCCGCAAGTCCCAGGACAAGGCGCAGTCAGAGGAGAAGTCGGATGAGGAGAAGTCGGAAGCAAAGAAGTCGGATGAGGAGAAGTCGGATGTGGAGAAGTCGGAGGAGTCTGATGAGGAGAAAGACAAGAGGCTTGCAAAGTCCAAGATGAAGTCTGCCAAGCTCGACTCTGACGACGAGGCGTGTTGTCTTGTTGGGAAATGGTGGTAATCTCTTCCCCCTATTAATAAATACGGCCCCCCCCCCTATTATAAATAAATCCCCCCAAAAATATATATTGTTTTAATTGGGGTTTTTGGGGTTGGTTTTTTTTGCTTTTCCAACAATGTGAGGGTTCACGTAGGATTTGGATGAAATGGATTGAATTGTAAGGTCCGCGAGTAAGCGGTTCAATAAGGAAATTTGATGTATCATTCTATTTGTTTACCAGTTTACTGGTTGTTTGTTTGCAGCCAGGCAGGTTAATTAGCCAGCAAAAGAACCCAACCTTTTGAGAAGCCAGCTTTTGGGAAAGCAACCTTTTGGGGAATTGAGGAACCCACCTGTTGAAAAGTGAGGCTGGAAGCTTGCCAAAAGTGCCCCCGAATAAGGATTCCAAGACGTTAGTATTGGTTTAGTATTGGCGCAATGGAAAATCAATTGTGTGGAGTGGAAATCTGGTCCCGGGCCCCGGATTTGCATTTATTATTAATTGGGGTCATTCATTAATTGGGGGAGCGGATTATTTGCCACAGATAGGGGAATTGGGGTTTGGACTTGCGGCACTTGCTACTCGGAGATGAACAACACATGTAATTTGATACGGCAACCTGCACCCGAGAAAAGGGCTTGCAGATTTTCCTTGGGAAGAACCATGCACCCATCAGGATGTGCCCCACCATGTCTCCCTTTATTCTGGGTGGCACCCAACAAAATATGTGGTACATGAGCGTGTTTCTCAGCTCAAGCTATTGGGTGTCTGGTGACAGTCAGCCTGTGCTCGCCGTGCAAGTCGAGCCGAAAATCGCAAGCGTACCCGAGAACCATCTCGGCACCCTCGCCACAAGTCTGCTACCGCCCTGCGGGCCCTACTGGTGCCCAGATGTGTTTGGGCAAATGTGTGTGTGTGTGTGTGGCACGGCTGCGGACAATGTAGGCCGCATGATGTTTCCCGTGTTTGCCGAACCCGCAGCAAAACTGCGCTGGCCTCGATAGCAGTGTGTTATGTGTTGGCCCACACCCAAGAAGGCTTCTACTGCCCCAAACCACTCGCTCCAAGATAGATATCATAACTATATGGAGGGTACGTTTTTGTGTGTCCAATTGTCGGGGGTAGTGGGACGGAGCGCCTCAATGCTGGCTGCCTTGCCGCGTGCATGACTGATTCCCTTAGATATGTTTTCTGGTTTGCCTTGCCCTATTTCCGGCTCATGTTTGGCGGCGCCAGCCTAAAGGGAGTAATCACTGTTCATCTTTCCTCCATAAGTTGTTGTACCGAAGAGGGAGCTGCTTGCGCTTCATTGTTCTCGATTTCGTTCGAATGCCAGCTGTGCCCTTGCTGGATGTGTCCCAGATGCAAGCGCGGCATCAAACCTGAGGCTGCAGGGTTAGGTGGTTCTGATTCTTGAGTGGCCCATGTGTGCTTGCTTATGGGAAGACATTGTCCTAAAGACGCCTACATGGAAGACTTGCTTTCAGGCATGTGTGGATGTGCTTGAACTCCTGTCCTGGAAATACTTTGTCCATGCCAGGAAAAGTCTTCTGGTTCTTCGAGGCGCAAGTTGGCAAGGGCGGGAAGCTTGAGTCCACTGAAAGGGGTGGAAGCCAAGACAGGACTGGATTCCCATTGGTTTCCCACACGCCATTTGTGTCCAGACCATCCTGGGCCAGTCCCAAGGACCAACTTCGCCAAGATCCGCGCGGCTTACAGCAACCTCAAGAGGGGTGCTGACCGCACCCATGAAGCTTCCTCAAATGGACCGATGTCCAATTGGCGAGGGTGATGCTTCATTTATAAACATGAATCAGGATCCCAATGGACCTGCATGTTGATTTTGAGGGTGTGCACTAGCCACGCCCACAGCCCCAAACAACTCACGCCACATGTCTGCTCATGCTCCCGACTCCCAGAGGTTCATGCTTGCTTCCAACCCTGACAGGACGGTCCTTTGTACACTACCTTGCCGGAAAAATGTACGGGCGCGGTTGACTCCTTTTGATAGCATGCCAGGCTTGTCTGCAAGCTACCAAGTGGGCCTTCCTTTGAAATCAGCCAAAAACCGAACCCAGCTTGCAGAACATGAGCACCGAGTTGGCCATAGGTCAAAATCCCGTACCCCCAGTGAACATCCCAACCCCCACTAAAATAGACTAAAATGGGTGGTGCACCTACCCAAAATGGTACTATTGGTTTTGACCCACAGCCAGTTGTCCTGAGCTCGGGCCATGTCCGCCGCGTCTCGGCCGTTCGCTGCGGCGGCGGTGTGGCTGGTGGCCCGCTGGGGCCACCGAATCGACGAGCTGGCGCGGTGCTGCCGTGCGGCCGGCGGGCGCCGCATCTGCGCGCTTCGGCGAAGCGTTCGAAGGAAGTCAGCCAGGGGTTGGTATTTGGCTGTGGGTCAACACCGCTTTGGTACTATTTTGGCGTATGTGAATTCATCGCCCATTTTAGAACCTATTTTAGTGGGGATGGGGATGTTCACTGGGGATAAGGGAGTTTGACCCATGGCCATTTGTCTTGAGTTCCGCGAACCCCTTATTTTAACACCAGTCGTTGGAGGGAAGCCCACTTGTTTGGGTTGATGTTAAAAAGCAAACATGGGGGAAGCGCAGGAAGCCAGGAGTGCCCTCATTTTTGGACAATAAACCCTAAACCCAGAAAGTCAGAAACACCCTTGTTGCCCAGTTTGTTCATCCGGCTCATTGTGACTCCATTTGAGGTGCTGCTGATCCATGGGGACGGGTACAAAGTCCTTCATCTCAAAGAGGACTTTTTTGCTGGTGCTGTCTCTGAAGAGGACAGATGTGTTTGTGTGTTTTTTTGCGAGCTCACCGATCCGATGGTAAAAAGAAACAATTTGCCCCATGACCAAGGTCCTCTTGGATTCCTATTTCCGGTTTATTAACTGCGTAGTTTGTGCCTTTTCAGGATCATGAGGTTGCACCGTGTGGGTGTTTCTTACCCAGCGAGGTTAGCATCCTGTCTCGTTTCTTGCATTCTTTGCCCAAGCCGCATTTAGGATCGGTTTAAGGAAGCTAAAGATACATAACCATGTTTGGGCCTACCTTTTTCTGGGGCAAAGCCAATCGTGCGATGGCAACTTCGAGCGATGGTTAACATGTGCTGCTGGCAGGATGTATGTATTTCCACGGCTTTGAATCAGTCAGAAAAATGGGATTCACCAGAGCATGTCTTTGGGGAATTGGGATCACTAAGCAAGGCATCAATTCAGGTTGGGCCCTGGAATCAATCTGTGTTGCTCACTCTCTACTCAACATGAAATGAAGGTGTAGTCTTCCCACGGCTTCCTGCGTCCGTCCATGGTTTGCCGGCGGTTCTGACCTGCCGGACCCAGGGCCCCGGGCTTGAAGCCAATTAAGGCGAAGGCTTACCCCAGCTACGCAGAGGTGTTTCCAAGTGGATGCCCAAGTAAAACGTTTTTGTTGCCAACAAGTGGGAATCTGGGAATCGCTAGTTTGCCTAGTTAGTTTCTTTGCCACATCACAGACTTGTCTCGGAATGGCAGGACGTTCTACTGCGCCTTCAGCCTTTGGCAGAAAGCCAACAAAGCGTGCCTTGGTGGCCTGAGTTCGTGACGGGGTCCGTGTGGCGTTGAACAAGGATCTGAGCCTCTCAAGTTGTGTGCACCAACCAATGAGGAAGTGCAATGACCAAGACACCAGCCGTGATCGTTCTAAAACGTGGTGATGTGGTTCGGGTGTCGATACGGGGCCCGACCTTTCTTTAAAGGCCCCTCATGAGGGGCAACCATGGGCCTTGGTTCTGCTCATCGTCCGGCCCGCACCCGCACCCGCACCCGCACCCGCACCCGCACCCGCACCCGCACCCGCACCCGCACCCGCACGCGCACGCGCACGCGCACGCGCACGCAGACACACACGCAGACACAGCAGAGACACAGACACACAGAGACACAGAGACACAGAGACACAGACATACAGACACACAGACACACAGACACACAGACATAGACACACAGACACACAGACACACAGACACACCGACACACAGCACGCGAACACGCGAGGTTTTGTCCTCGCTGTAAAGAAGGATCCAGGAAAGGGAGGCCATCATTGAACATTCCTTATACAATCCTGACACCACGGCAAGTATCAGCTGTATCAACCCTCTCGGCAGCGGGTGAGGCCTGTGTTGAGGAAGAAATTGTGTGTGTGGCTGTTAAGATACAGCCTTGCTCAAACCGAGTGAATGCTTGCAATGGCGACTGGGCATGACTGGGCCTTGGAACGTTCGTACAGCTCTCATGCGCCAGAGGAGCCAAAAGGGCAGGCTGGCAGCACCACGAGGGCAAGAAGCCCAAAGTGTTGAACGCAAATCGGCAGAGTCCCAAGTTGGAATTACAAGAACTTTGGAAGCATGACACGCGCCAGACAATCACTCCGCGTTGCCACTGACGGCAGAGACCAAGACCAAGAGTAAGCGTTCAGGTTCTGTTTCAGCTTTTGCTTGGAGCCGGGCACCTTATGCGTCCACAGGGTCTGAATATATCCAATCTTAGGCCGTGCTGGATGTCGCAGTCGAACGCCTGAAGACCACCGCGGAGGGGTCGGTGGTCTTTTTAGACGAATCAGCGGAGGCTGGCCTGGGCACATCTCTCGATTTCTACTCAGATAGTATACCCGTTGGTGTAGATATATCCATACATAGAAAGAAAGAGAGAGAGAGAGAGAGAGAGAGAGCAAGGCAAGTGCATGGGTGCACCTTGTTTGTAGATATGGATGGATGTACGGGTGCCATACAGGATACTGCACACACACCAGCCTCGATAGCGCGGGGGACCCACAACGCTTGTGTTTGTAGGTTCTTCAAGGACTGCCTTGGGTGCACACAATCCATTTTTCACAGAGGGCCTCATGGACAGGGTTGTGAGTTCCCACACACACACACAGGGGACTAATTTGAGCCCAGGATCAACACGCCAGTGATTTAGATGGAACTCCTCCATTCATCCGCCAGGTTCGATTAAACAGAGAGGTCGACATTTGAGGGGGTGGAACACCAGAATAATCTCCCCCCTGTGGTTTCGGGCATTTGCTTGGATGTTAGGACTTTAACTTTTTGCCAACTAATGGGTTTTCCGGTTCTCCACTAAAAGTTACTCACTTTTAGCAGGGGAGCAGAAAGCAACCGAGTGTGGTTTCCCTTGAGAGACGATTTCGCTCGGGCCTGGCAGGAGGACTGGAGCTGGTCGGCTCCAGAGAGACCCGGCGTAGTGTGCCTGGGCGTCCACGAGGAGGGGGTGGACCTTGAGTCAGGCCACATGTTCAGCGGATTCCTTGTGTTGTCTTTTCGGGTGAATGGTTATGGGCAAAACATCGGGTTGGGCCCTTTAAAGTGAGAATGGACATAGTCAGGCGTAGCCCACTTTTGTATGCAGAGAGCATGTTTTTCACAGCAATGTTGCTGACCAGTCGCAAGGCCTTGTTTCCTTGTTTGGCTGGTTTTGAAGGACCGCAGCTTGGCTTTGTCAAACTGGACTTTCCTGCTGGCACTGTTGGTGGCAAATAGAATGAACCCCACTCCGACGTTCAGACCAGGAACTTCATTGAGTTCAAGTTCATGTTATCCTGAAAGCAACCGAGACATAAACTAGTGAAGCGGCAACATTAGACAAGCTGATCTTCAACCAATTGGAGCTCATTAGCTTCCAACGCGCCAGAGGTGTAGAGGCTGCCGGAAGGAGGGCGTCCCGCTGTTTTCTGAAGACTTGGGTGAACCAGTAAGCCCGGCTTGGTCGCAGTTGTCAACATCAGGAACTCCTGCAGGGCATTGCTGGGGTCACCAGGTGAAGCACATTGAAACAGAGGTCCGGTCCCTATCTTTGTTGAGCATCGCCTTTTTCGCCAATGCAATTGGATACCTGTCGGGTGGAGGGACGCTTGAAGGGGCCTTGTGAAGAGCCCTAACTCATCATTTGACTGTCTCGCGCAGCAACTAAGTGGAATATTGCGTAGTTCTAAGGGACACCAGAGCGGATGGTCTCTTCCATTTCCTCCCCCCGGGAACAACAAGAGAACCTGAGAACCGCCGGAAGCTCAATGGCTAAGCCAACGAGCCCTGGACTTGAAAGTATTCGGAAGGAAATATCGTTGTCAATTGTTGACTTTTCCCAGGTCGCGGAAGCGCCGCGCAAGGTTCGCGGAAGGGGTTTTATGTACTCGCGGAAGCTTCGCGGAAGGGCTACGATTCAACAACGAAAGCAATAAATTGTAGTTTTTCTTCACGCACGGAAGCGAAAGCAAATTTCAATCCCATGTCTCAATCCGCGGAAGCAACGCGGAAGCGATTCCCTCTTCAAACCTCTTGCGGAAGGAACCTTTCATGCGCAAGCTCCGCGGAAGCCTTCGCGGAAGGGATTTGATATTTCTCTTCGGCCGCAACCGGGTTTAGAACACTGCTCAACTGGAAACCACAACCGAAGCCGCCTGCAAGCCAAACGAAAGCCACCTGGAAACAGAAGGGAGACAAACCTCAAGAAAGCCAACCGAGAACCAGTGTTAAAAAAAAAGCAG